TTGTGGACTTCAACTCCCAGAATTCAGAGCTGGCTGGAGAATTCTGGGAGTTGAAGTCCACAAGTCTTAAAGTTGCCAAGTTTGGGAACCACTGCCCTAATAGATTGGTTGGTTTGTATAAGGCTTTACGCTGCTTTTGTTCTCTGTATTAGATTATTGGATTTGATTTCACTCTGAAGTTGTGATTGCAGATACAAATAAGAGAGGAGGCATATGCAACGCTGAGAAACTGAGCTATGTTCAAATTAAAAATGACTTTAAACATTAGGGATGTGTAGACCGAACCAGATTTCTAAACTTTGAAGTGTTTAGTATCATTGAAATCAGTGTTTCTCAACCTTGACAATTTTAAGATACATGGACATCAACTCCCAGGATTCCCCAGCCAACATGCTGGTTAAGAAACACTGATTTGCAGTGTTTGGTTAGATAACTCCTTAAGGGAAACACTTCTTACTTATTCGTTCAGGACCTGTTTTCTTTTCATCAAGGAGCCTCCTTTGGGAAAATAACCGCATATTTCTTGTTCTGTCCAAGGCTTCCCAAGAGCATGAAACAAACTCCTTGTCCTGGCAAAAAACCCTTTTATTAATTTACAGTGAATTGTGCTCATTTACAGCCGGCAAAGTCTTTCAAAAGAGAATTTACAGTCACACACATCTGGCTTGAAGAGCTGACAGGCCGATATCTGCAGAACTTGGCAAGGAGTATCGGAGAGTCACTAACCAATTAGCAAACTAATTGCCTCCTGCAAACTCAACTCCCCTTTTGCTCCGCTTTTATTTCCTCTGGGAAGGACCATTCATCATCTGGCCTTACTCCCAAGTCGATCCCTGCTCTTTACTTGTTCCCTTCAACTGGCAACTCTGTGCATGCGCACACTGGGAACAGGCTCCAGCTGTTTGCCTGCCTCACTGCTGTCCGATTCTGACAACAGCTGATAACCGGCATACGGTTCTGGCCCCCTCTCTGCCTCCAACACAAAGCCTTCATCAGAGCCTTTCCCAGACTCCAGGACTAGCCCATGTTCCTCCTTAATGTCCTCATTGTCTGAATCTGCTGCCAGCTCTGTTGGCTGCTGGCAGGCCACAACATTTCCTGCAGTCTTAGGGGAGAAAGGGAAGGCATGGACAAAGCCAATACGATTGTAAGAAGCTCCCTTGCAATCCCTTCTCATCTAGGATGGTTGCTTCTACTGGCTTTTCCAGCAAGGATCTTCCTCATTGGAAGAAAAGCATGTGCCAAGCAAGCTGTTCTCCGTGTCTGCTGCTCTTCTGGCAAGGAAAAGCTAATAACGTCAAGGGTGGGAGTTAGGAGAGAACATTATTAGGGCTGTTACTTCATTAAGCAGCATTTCCTAATATCATTCCACTAGCTGCCTGAGTTGGCTTGGATTTCCCCCTGAACTGAATCTAGGTTCCCATGCCTGCTTTAGGGGAAGATTTACTTTTCTTTTATTATTTTAGGTGGATACCATCCTTTCTTCCAGAAGTTCATGGTAGGAGATATGGTTTCTCCTTCCCTGTAATTTGATTGTTACAGTAGCTCTGTAATGATTGTCAGATTGATTGACAGTAACTCCTCCATAGTCATGACTAACTTCACAGCAGAAATTAATCTTACCTCCCTAAACAGGCTTCCCCTCAATGATGCCCTTCAGAAACTATAGGTACCATGTCACACAACAAGAACAGTATATAAAGGAAATCTGACTGTAGGCCCTTTAGCACCTTGTCTAGTTTGGCCAATGAGTATTATTGACATTGAGATTCCAATAAATATGGCAAACTTGGTGGTGTGCATCACATTTTTAATGCATAAATTTATTCCATCTTCCTCAGTAAGTCTGCATGAAAACTCATAAAAATGTTTGTACATAACTTCTCACGATATATACATGCTGAGCAAGTACATTTCCTAATACATGTCTTTTTGGGATATAATTTTTCTCAGTGGATCAAAAAAAGGGGGAATCTTAGTTCAGATAGCTTAGACTTTACAAAGACCCTCAAGACTGTTTTCATCCTGCAGCCATTGCAGTTACTTTGACTGATTCCCAGACACGGAATATTTCTGTTATTAGCATGATGAAGTAAGATTGCAGTAGATAGCCACAAACTCTGAATAGCTTCTGACCTTCCTTTTGACCTCAGGATATTTATCTCACTGGCAGTTTTCTCATACATCAGGAGAATATCGGTTGGAAAAGGTTGGCAGAGTGATTACAGGGACTAAAGTACTAAATATTCATGTCTGATAAATATATTGTAGATGTTAATGTTTTAACACTATGATTAAACACTTCTAGAATTTGGTACATAAGTGCTAACCTTTTCCCAATCCCCTTGATAGCTGTAGATCAAGTCAAAGGACCTTCTCCAGAATCACAGAATAATCTGTGGATTATTGTTGGCGTTGCAGTCCCTGTAGCTGTGGTGCTATTGATAATCATAATTTTATACTGGAAACTTTGCCGCACAGACAAACTTGAGTTTCAACCAGATACCATGAGCAACATACAGCAGCGTCAGAAGGTAAGAATGTGGGAATGTTCTAAAATGCCTGGGTGTTTTGTGACTTGCTAACAACTATTAAGAGTACTCTTATAACATGGCTGCCATTATCTGTTCATAAATGGAAGAGCATAGAATGCTTATTTTGCAGAATGTAAGCTAAAAATTTGTGATCCCAGGTCTAGAATTTGCAAATTTATCTATCTGTTGTGTAATAGATAATACCTTCTAAAATTATATCAAGAAAATTCTTTATGAATAAGGAAACCTATTGCATCTTAACAAAATTAGTTGTCATTAATTAACATTTGACATATAGAGAGAATATTCACACTTTTTGTGAACTCTGTGTATTATTTAACAGAATAAATTTACTGTATACATCTAATATTAATATTTGTAAGAAATTAGAAAAGAAAGAACACCTTCTAACTATGTCACAAAATTTTGGCAATTGCTGAAAAACGATAGAACCAACCTCTGCCTTTTTATTGATTGAGTGTATTTTGAGAAGGAAATTGTGTACCAAATATCCCCATTATTATGTAATGTTTTATTATTTCTTCTTTTTATGTTTGTATTGTGAACTACATAGAGTCACAAAATTGAGATGCTCAATCATTGTATTGTAAATCCTAAAGTAGGAACAATACAGGTAAATCAAAGGCAATATTTTTTCTCCAATGTATGGATGATCTTGGTCTCACTCATAAGTGACACGGCCTCTCCCATTTTGTGTAAGGCCTTGCTCACTGTTCCCCTCCATCTTCCCCAAAAGATTAAATATAGATGCAAAGGTTGCCTGGTGCTGATCTAGTTCATATTTTCAGACCAAACTTCACCTGCATGATAAAAGCATTATTACCTCTAATAATATGGACTCTACAGCCTTCTTTTTAGACATATATGACTTATCATGAGGAAGCTAGATCTGAGAGCTCTTCCATTTTGCACAATTTGATAGGTCTGGAAATATCACTGTCCTCCTGTTTATAGAAATTGGTTTGTTGAGAAATGTTTTTCTCCATTTCATATTTCATATTTTCACTACGTTTCATTAATCATGGGAAAAATGAGTGAAGTTGAAAGTGATTGTGATTTTGTTGGAAAGCTGGGTAGCTTTTCTTTTCATTATTGTAACAGAAGGGAAGAAGGAAAATCAACAATAGCTTTCACTTCTATGACTTTTACACCATTGGCTTGTGTTGTCTCTGCTTTACGGTAGTTGTGCTAAAATAGAAATCAGTCTAAGAATAAGGCTTAAATGGTACCTTTACTTTACTTAAAAGTAGCTATTTTATATTTATTAAAGTTAAATACTATCCAAACTGCTTTGAGAAGTGCCCATAAGTCATTGGTAACATACTATCTCTGAAAGCAATATTAATAGCACTTAGACTTATATACTGCTTCATGGTGCTTTACAGCCCTCTCTAAGCAGTTTACAGTGGCAGCATATTGCCCCCTTCCCAAATCTGGGTCCTAATTTTATTGACCTTGTAAGGCTAGAAGGCTGAGTCAACCTTGAGCTGGTGAGAATCAAACTCCTGGAGTGAGCAGTGAATTAGCCTTGCAGTGTTGCATTCTAGCCATTGTACCACCACGGCTCTAGAGTACTTTGAATGCATTATGCATTTAATTGCATTTCATGAGCTTGTGAAAAGTCATCCCACTTATGGTACCCATCAGTATAGCATAAATCAATGGCAGGAGGATTTCAGTCCTCTCAAGATTGGAAAAATGTATTTAGCTGAAGCATGTCAAAATTGATATAGGGATTTTAAACTGAATCTTGTGGGGGTTGGAGATTAAAACTCCTGAAGTAAGACACTCAGATAAAGTGGCTCCTATTAGATAACAAATTGGAATGATAAAGAACTTTACACATGATGTTTGGGTTATTTATACCTTTTAAAGGATATATTAAAAATATAAAATTGAACTGCTCTATGGGCAGGCCATTGTCCTTTACTAACCAATTGTCTAATTTTTTAAAAGAGATTCCTGGCATACAATTTGTTAATTATTCTTGAAACCATCTGCTTGAATGATAATTGGCCAGATACATTTGACCTTTTTTTAAATAAATGATTGATCGAATTCAATCTTGGCGAAGTGGAAGAGAATAATCTATGTGTATAAATAAATACTAGTCAATACTGGTATTAACCAGTCTGAATATGTCTTTAGTAATTAGCCGGAATCAGCTCTCCCCAGTGCTTTATCCTTTTCAGTTGTTGGATAAATTTGGAAATCTCAGAGGTGATGTCAACACCCAATCTGGAATATATTCTAGATTTAGCTCAAGAGATATTGAAATGAGAAAGGCATCGCTGCAGGATTTAGCAATAGGTACAGTCTTCTGGGTGGAAGAATATTCTCCTCCCAAAAAAACCTTTCAAGATGTTTTGAGACCATCAGTCAAAAAAGAAATCTCGAATCTTGAAAGTGAATAATCTCAGAATATATCAACCTTTTCATTTTATTCTTATTTTTATGTTAAAGCAACAGGGGGTATTTTACATACTCTGTACCTAAGAAGTGTATATAAACCCTGCTTTGCAAGAAGTAGAAACAGTCTTTAACTGCTTTCAGGACACAGTCGGAAGGAATAAGTTAAAAAAAAGTTCAAGGTGGGGAAAATGAGTCAGAATTATTTGGAAACTATTTGGAGGGAGGAAAATAGCAGTAGACTTATATACCGCTTCATAGG